ACCATATTTGTGTAGAAAAATGTCCGTTACTTGGGTTTCAAATTCTACCGGGGTGCGTATTTTCCCTCAATAGGACTCCTCGAATATTTATGCAGGTAAACGGAAATAAAATACAAACTGTGCGTCTACTCAAATATGGCTATCCATTAAAAAGTAACCTTTAAAGTGATAAAAATATACCGCATTAAAAAATAAAAAAAGTTATATAATAATTTATATATATATATATATATATATATATATATGTGTGTGTCTGTGTGTGTGTGTGTGAATGAGTGTGTGTGTATGTGTGCGTAAGTGTATATATATATATATATATATATATATATATATAAAAGAACACTTAGGCGACAGCCTGTTTCAAGCTATATGCAATCGTCAGACCTGACGATTGCATCTAGCATGAAACAGACTGTGCTGACTTCTATGTTCACTTTTATATTTACACACGCTCTACCTCTGGTATTGAGCACTTTATCCCCAAAATATAGCACACTTTAAGACTATATTTCTTTATATATATATATATATGGTTGGATTGATGCGAGTTTGTGACCCTGGGTTTCACGCTTTTGCGATCACATCAATCCAACCAAATATGTTAGCTCTATCTCTGATATTCAGCGCTTTCTAATAAGTACTGCGCACATAATATATAAATAATATATATATAATATATATATATATATATATATATATATATATATATATATATATATATATATACACACACACACACATAATATATATATGAATACACATATATATATATATATATATATATATATAAAAAAGAGATACTGAGGACAACACTGAGATGCAGTCTGATTTGTATTTGAACGCAATCTTCCATTTATACATGCTATATGCTTGATATCATGCACATAAATATATATCGCACCCATGAAATATATAAAAACTCAAATTATATTTTTTATCATTACACATACACACACACACATATATATATTTATATAGATATATATGTGCATACATGTATGTATATATATGTGTGTGTGTATTTAGGCAACAATTCTTCATTAATGCATGTTTCATTAAAAACGAGAGACAACGTACTACAAATTAAGCTTTTTATTTAATTTTTCTTGTGTTCTAACAACTGTTATCTTTTTGGGACACAGCGTGTAAACACTGTACAAATGTTCTCCGAGCGCTTTTGGCTATACTTTTAGCCATTATCAAGGATGATATTATTTTTGTAAAAATTTTTTGACTCGAATAAAAAAAAAAACAAATTAATTATTTACTGTAAGAAATTTAAAACAGCTAACCCTATCTTCAAAAATGACAACACACCAGCAAAGTCAAAATTACAGCGAACGAACATTGTCTATGTGTTTAAATGACCCTTAAGGAACTGTGTCTCAAGGTATGATAGAATATTTTGTGGTTTTCATTCAGAATCTTTTATTTCCATCATTTATTCTTGAGTTAAACTTTTGGCTATGGGATGTAAATGATTCTTAAGGCCATCTTCGGTTTTACAATAATGGAAGCTCTAATAATAAAAAAAGAAAATCCACCACTTAACAATATTAACTACGAACATGGTCACAGTGTGCTAACCGTGTTCGGAAAATAAAACATTCCTATAACTCTAGAAACACACACACAATAAATATATCAAAATTACAAAGCAAAAATAATTTTTCTTGTGTTCTAACAAGTGCTATCTTTTTGGGACATAGTGCCTAAAAACTGAACTAAATGTTCTATAATTCCAAGTGCATTCGGTTATTTTTTTAGCCATTATCAAGAATGATTTTATTTTTTCAGTTTAATTGATTGTGTGCGTTATGTGTATGTTTTTAGCGTGTTAACATGGTTAGCACATTGTGGCGGTGTTCGTAGTTAATATTGTTAAGAGTTGGCTTATTCTTTTTTATTATTAGGCTTTCCATTATTTTTTAATTTTTTTTTTTTTTTACATGTGGATGAGGTTATTATGTTTGTATTTTCTACGAGTATGTTTCGAATGGAGTCTGGTAAGTTTGGGTGTGTGTTTAAATGGGTTTTAATAGAGTTACAGTCAGATAGTTTTTTAACGTAAGGCGTCTTGATAGGCATGTAGTTCTATTAGGCCGACGATTGTGTCTGTGTGTGTGTGTGCGCGCGCGTGTGTGTGTATGCGTGTGTATGTGTAAAAATTTCTCAGAATAACCTGTAGAAAAAGACAATTTATATAAAGGAAAAAAGACAATAGGAAAACTGTAAATTTAGCCGACACGTTTCGTCCAATAAATTCAGCCACAATTTTGATTTTATAAATGCTCCACTCGGAAAAAGAAAACGGTTTTAAACCGTCAATACAACAATACAAACAATATTTCTACACGTGAAAATATTCTCTCCAAACATAAAATAATTGACGTAATTTTTTAATTGACCAAATGAATATACAATAGCGTTTCTAAATTCCTCTATTTGCTCACGATATTTTGTTTGTTGTTTATAGATACTTTATTTCAAGGAATTCATTTCGGTTTTTGCCTTGAAAAAGTCCACATTGGACGAAACGGGTCGGTTAAAAATACAGTTTTCCTATTGTCTTTTTTTCCTTTATACATATATAAATATATATGATGATTATCAGTTCTTTGCAGAAGAAGACAATCTATTCACTAAGTATGATAGAATATTCTGTGTTTTTCATTCAGAATCTTTTATTTCCATCATTTATTCCTGAGTTAAACTTTTTGCTATGGGCCCGGAAATGATTCTTAAGGCCATCTTCGGTTTTACAATAATGGAAGCTCTAATAATAAAAAAAAGAAAATCCACCACTTAACAATATTAACTTTTTGCTATGGGCTCGTAAATGATTCTTAAATCCATCTTCGCTTTTACCAACTCTCTTCCACACGTGGCAAAAATAAAGTTTGTCTCTTTTACCTATGTTGGTAACTTACTTGTCCCTGTGTAAAATCGTGTAAAGTTTGACTCCCGCAAAAGACTTACAAACCTTGCCACAAAACTATATATATATATATATATATATATATATATATATGTTTGACCCCTCTCCAGCTGAAATGACCAATCAAAATACAAGTATAGGAAATTCAAAAAAACTTGACAACAAAGTAAGTTTATAATAACTATTAAATGCTTTAAAACTAAAATATATATATTCCGTATATAAATATATATATATATATATATATATATATATATATATATATATATATATATATGAAATGGATAACGGTCGACAATTATTTTAAGATATTTTTATGTTCATACATTCATTTTGTAGATAAAAATATTTAAGTAAATGCTCTGTTTATAATAAACAGTATTAATCACATTCACCTGCCTGAATGTCCGAGAAATTTTCATAGAAAATATTCGACTTCCGACAGGAATCGAACCTGTATCCTATACGGAACCGTCATATAGCCTTTGTCCATTTCAAAATGTGTGACGCCATTTGTTTGCATTTGGATACGCATTGAGCAGATGTCAATGTACGTGAAAGATTCATGGAACCGTCATATATAGCCTGATGTGCCTTAACCGATTCGGCCACAGAGGATCGTTCGGTTAGCAAAGTTGATTTTACTGCTTTTAAACTACAATTTTCCATGATTCTTTCGTTTTTACTGTTTTTTTAAATGTAGTTTAAAAGCAGTAAAATCTTCCTCTAACCGAACGATCCTCTGTGGTTCAGTTGGTTAAGGCACATCAGGCGAAATGATCGAATAGTGATCGAATATCACAGAGGGGGATTAACACTACTGCGAACACAATGAACAACAAAGAACCATACAGAGTTTTGAAACAGTCCATTAGATCTAAAGTATCATATCAATATATGAATGTGTTTGCGCTTGTGTGAAGTGGAAAAAACTATAAGCGACACGTTTCGCCGAGAACATCTCTTGCTTTCGGCTTCTTCTGTCTTGAATGAAAGTCAGAATTGTGTGTAATGAAAATGCATTGGTATCTCTGAAGATAAGAAGTGACTATTAATCAAATTGCCTTATCAAATCAGACGACCAAAATATGTGTATGTATATACCAAGCTTCTTTGCTTGATATATATATATATATATATATATATATATATATATATATATATATATATATATATATATCAAAAACAGACTTGACATTTACATACACACCTACATACATACACACACACACACACATATATATATATATATATATATATATATATATATATATATATAAGTGCGCAGAAAATAGAAAAGAACACGTTGGGTGCATAATCCAGGTTTCTTTAGTATTTTTGGTTTATTTTTAAGAAGACAGTGCTCCATACAGAAGTAGAGCTTTATTATAATGATAATATTTTTTGATTAAAAATATGATTCCTTAATTTCGCTTGAAGATGAAACGGGACTAAACACCACAATTCAACTTAATTTTAATAATTATTTGGATGGTTTCGGCTCTCGTTTTTGAAACATGAGAACTCTTATGTAGCGAAGGAATCATATTTTTAAAAAAATATTATATATATATATATATATATATATATATATGTTCGAGCCGTAGTTTTGTCTTTCAATCTAACCTGAAGAAGCGGAAAGCAGCATCCCTATCGGCGAAACGCGTGGTTTATAGATCTCTCACTTTGTTTCATTATCTTCACTTTTGCTTAAGATAGTATTAAATATCCTACACGCACATACATATAAATATATATCTATGCATAGATAAATATATGAATAGATATTAGATTGAAATAGATAGATAGATAGATAGATAGATAGATAGATAGATATGATTATATTGAGATAGATAGATATATGATTACACAGATAGATACATTTATCATATCATTGGATTCAGATAGATAGATATTAGATAGATAGATAGATAGATAGATAGATAGATATATGATTACACATATGATTATTAGATTGAGATAGATAGTTAGTTAGTTATATGATTACATAGATAGATAGATAGATAAATATTTAGATTATGATTACATATAAATTTTAGATTCATATCATTAGATTCAGATAGATAGATAGATAGATAGATAGATAGATAGATAGATAGATAGATAGATAGATAATGATTAGATTCATAGCTGCGATGGGCAGATATGATTAGATTTAGATATATATGATTAGATTGACAGCTAGATATATATGATTAGATTGATATAGATAGTTACATATGATTAGATTTAGATAGGCAAATAAATTCGAAAAAATATTATGACACTGATATCGATAGCTAGCTCGATATTGATACTTTGAGATAGATATTGTAGATACATAGATAGATATAAGTAGGTTTTGAAAGAGAGATAGATATGAACAGAATGATATGTATATATATATATATATACATATAGATAGATAGATAGATAGATAGATATTCGGAACACTGAACTGGACAAATTTCTTGTCATATTTTCCTCATATTCTCTAACCCTTGCCTCTTTGTTGCTTTATTGTCTTGCCTGTGGTGAAATGATTAAAAACATCTGAAACAATGATAACCATAGCTAGATATACAGATAATGTGTTGGGATATATACATATATTAACCGAAGACATTTAACTAAACGGATCTCTTTTTAGTTATCTATCTCTTGATGTGTATGACAATAGTTAAGTATGCGTGTATGAACATTTCTTTATTTACAGATATCCATATATGTGAGTATTCAATGGATACGTTCAATAATAATAAAATAATCCTTTCTACCATTTTCCTGGTGGGAAAGCAAGCTTTATAAAGCATCCGGACGCGTAGAAAAGCGGCAAAAGCAAGTATTTTGTATTCGCATCAACAATCTAAAATAAGATTGGCCAGTGAAGCCTGTAGGAAGCCATATTAATTTCAGCAGTGGACAACTGTTTTCTCACCCTTCAAACACTTGTAAGACACCTCGCTTCCCCGGGTAGCTGGTGAGCGTAACTGTCTTCCGAGAGTGTTATGGAAATTTAAAGCTTGGGAAATACTGGGCAACTATTTCTGATCACTCTAATTCTGTCTCTGTCTTCGATTTTGCCACTTCAGAGATCAAACTGTCAGTATGAATGCGTTTCTCGCTTTGGACAAGATGGAAACCAAAGAAAGATGGCGTAACAAATAAAAAAAAAAGACAAAATTTATAAAATAGCAGTAAAGCTAGCAAAAAGAAAAAATAGGAAATACAATCCCAAATTAATTTTCCTTATTCTTCTTGCCCTAAACATATCCGTTGCTTCGTTACGTACCTGACGATTTAAATTTATTTTTCCGTATTTATCCTGCTAACTGCTATATGTGATATGACTGTATCACGTGCATTTTTCCGGTTTAAATAATTATAATCTATAATATCGATCTTGTTTCTTCCGTCGTATCTTTCTCTAGATGTTGCCATTTCAGTTTATTTTAACTTGCCTTACTACTATTATGCCATCTATGTTCTTTCAGGGAGTGGGTGTTAGTAGCTCTCCACAACTTCCTATCCTTTGTAGGTCTAAGCAATGTGTGTCCCTTGTTTTTCCCTTATATCCTCCTTTCTGTCAGCCATTTCTACATGATCTTTAGTTTCACTATTCCAATCTTGCCTTCAATATTTTCTGTGAGTGTCAAATTCTCCAAGCCGTCTTTTCTCGTTATGCGTCCCAGAAATGTCAACTCTTTCTGAATCTAAATACTGAAAATTAAAATCTTCTTCTAATATTCTTGTTGTTTTCTTCTTCTCTTACGAAGAACAAAGAAATATATTAAAACATATCAGATAGTTTATTTTACTATTCGTAGAAACAACACGGCCTGGTGGTTAGAACTTTCGCAATCTGACCAGGAGACCCGGGTTCGAATCTCACCATGGTCGATTTGTCCTGATGTTAATTCTTTCCTGTAAATGTGTGGTAAAAGATCATTCTTGACATCATTTATATGGCCATCGTGGCCGAGTGGATAGAACTTTCGCATTCTGACCAAGAGACCCAGGTTCCAATCTCACCATCGTCGATTTGTCAGGAGATTTCCTAATGTTAACCCTTTTTCTGTAAATGTGTGGTAAAACATAATTCTTGACATTCTTTATATGGTCATCGTTGCCGAGTTTTTTAGAAGTTTCGCATTCTGACCATGAGACCCGGGTTCGAATCTCACTATGATCGATTAGTCAGTCTCCTTCCTGATGTTATCGGGCTGATGGGGTCGATCTCATCGTGCGCCAATTTTTGACCCAAGCATTGTGAGTAAAATTAGCTAGACGGAATCCTTGGGTGCTGTCGAGAGCTCTGCTAGCACGAAGTCACCAGACATCGTGGCGGAAGCCTTGGGTGTGCTGGCCTTGCTCAAATTGTTGATCACGCTAAGTAACACACTCTCTCCATGAAACTGTAACTAAGGTCTGCTCAGCATAGTTGCAGTAAAAACCACAGGTCTCTGTGGGTTTGAATAAACACAAATGCACCTGGGCAAGCGTCTGCAATAGGGATTAGCTAGCTGCCCCAGTAGACGGGTATTCTTGAATACGAGTGGTCAGCTATACATATACAAAAAACCGGAACAGACTGAATGAAAAAGAAAAGTTAGGAACATATCAGAGCACGAAAAAACATTAGGAAAATGGATGTGACAGTCATAGCAATCGCTATCAGAGTACTGGGAACAGTCTGAATAGACTAGGGAAAAGTTTAAGGTACTGGAAATTAATGGAGCATTTAGCACCATTCAGACGACAGCTTTACCAAAAAAAACCCTCAAAAGTGAGTCAGAATTTTGATTAAACTCGCTATCACATCATCACCAAAATAAGTCACCTATTTTACTGTCGGGTGGGTGCCCCATACTTTCGGCCTCACATCATCACCAAAATAAGTCACCTATTTTACTGTCGGGTGGGTGCCCCATACTTTCGGCCTTGTGCCACATCTATATAGAATAGCCTGACACTATAATGTCACCAGCTGGAATTCGTTTACAAAAACCCTGTTGACACTACCGACTGAATCGCTTAAAATCTATGAGGTAAGGGTTGGACTTACGTGATAGTACCAGGTGTTTCCAAGGATTCGGTCCCCATCTGTACTGTACTGATGCGGCATTCACCCTGGGCGGAAGATTCTTGGGCTAACCTGGCTCTTGCTTGCCGCGGGGTTCCCACGATGCTTAACTTACCGATGCAGACGTGATCGAACGAGAACCGGTGTTTCAGTTCCCCAAGCGTGATTTAACCGTAAACGAGAACCGAGAAAGCATTATATTATACTCACAATATATATTAAACAGCCGAGAAAACAATATATTATACTCACAAATAACACCCTCACCTTACGAAGGGCTTTATCTATGTAAAATATGAATAATCATAGTTTGTTTGTTTTTTATTGATCAGTAGAAAATGATGGCATTTCTGATTTTAGGTCTCTGGTTGAGACCCTGAAGGAAAGGAATATACAACATAAATAAAAGGAAATAATAATAATAATAATAATAATAATAATAATAATAATAATAAAATAATAAACAAAATGATTGATTTAACTTTTCCGATATTTTTCATCAGTTAAGAGAAGAGCTCTTTTAACAAAAGAAAAGGAAAAGAAAAAACACAGTTTTTGGCAATGTTAAACAATATTTCAACAAAATGTCTGACTTCCAGAAGATAGTTTTTTTTTAATTCTCACGTATACAAATATATAAATTTACGAAAAATTATAAATCTTTGTACAAACGTCTGCAGCCGAATTTTGTTTGTAAGACACGCAACATTTGTACAAAGATATTTTTCTAGTTTTAAACATTTCTATACTTGAAAATTTAAAAATATATAACTTGAAGAAGGCAGACATTCCGTTGAAATATTGTTTAAAAGTGTTTTTCTTTTCTTTTTCTTTTCTTAAATCACGCTCGTCTCTTAACTGTAATAATAATAATAATAATAATAATAAAAGAAGTTGGAACAACAAATTCAAGTGAAGGCACAAAGAAACAGATTCTTCAAGTAAGACAATATCTTCAAAAAAGATGCCAAGAAACTATATCGAGAACTGGGAAAATAAAATAGAAACAAATGACGCAGCTAATTAATATCCAGGAAGTCGAGGAGTTCTGGTGTAAGATGTGGGAATCAAGGAACAAGCAACAACAAGAACAGCTCACACATATAAAATGCCCAAAATGGAAGTATACCAATATTACTGATGTCATCTGCAAAACCATAATCTGGAATACACCAAGAATAGATAGAATAGACAAGTTTTGGATAAAAAATGAAAACTATCCAGCACCCACCAAGAATTCGCAAGGGCATGCAGTGATATAATCCTAAACCCAGAAGAATGTCCCAAATGGCTCACGTAGAGAGTAAGATACCTACTCACCAAAAGAAAAGAGACACTGAACCTGAAGAACTATAGACCCATCACCTGCCTACCAACAATCTACAAGATCCTCACTTCTATCATAACCGAGTGGACGTACTTACTTCAGAAAAACAATTTTCTTCCAGCAGAACGGAAGGGATGTAAAAGAGGAAGTCACGGGTGCAAGGACCAACTAATCAATAAAACAATATTGGAAGAGGTGAAAACAAGAAAAAGAAACTTATCGATAGCATGGATCGACAACAGAAAGGTGTTCGACAATGCACCATGGATAGAGAAGAGCCTAAAATATACAGAGGATGTTCCCCAACGGTCAAATTCATAACGGAAAACACGAAAATCACTAAACCTAAACCATTAAAACGAGTTATTAACATCGAAACCAAACAAAGTCAAAAGCGGGATTATCAAAGAAGATTCATTGTCAACACTAAATTGAATTAGCGCCACTCAGCTGCCAAATGAAAACGAGTAGCTACGGATACAAATCACAGAATGCCAAACTGAATCACTTATTCCATATTGATGATTTTAAAACGTTTGCCAATGACAACCAACCAAAAAAAGCCTAGTCACCATTGTCAAAACCTTCAGCGAAGACATTAAGATGGAAGTTGGAATCGACAAATGTGTCAAAGAAACCTGCAAATGTGGTAAACTAATGATAACTATAGATTTAGACCATGATATCAACAACACGATTAAGGAACTAGACCAAATATTAGGAATTAATGAAGAATACGGAATACAAAATTCATAATCGAAGGAAAAGATCAAAAAAAAATATTATAGGAGAGTGCTTCTGATACTAGAAATAATACTTAATGCTGGCCAATAAAAAATGAAGGCTATCAACACTTTAGCTGTACACGTACTAACATATAGTTTCAACATTATTAAATGGAAGTTAAATGACATTAAAGGATTGAACACCAAGACTAGAAAAATGCTTACCCAAATGAGGATGGATGACCTGATATCAGATGTTAATAGGCTGTACGTGCCAAGAGCTTTAGGGGCCCGAGGTCTAATCCAAATTGGAACTAA